CACGTCTTCCTCTATCTTTTCTGCCTCCAGAACTAAATATTTGTCGGCAAGACTATCAGCAAGATTAAATTCAAAGTTTGGTTCCTCTTCTGGTTCCATTGTCGACTTTTATTAGCAAAATAAATTCGCAAAATCACAGTCCTTACGATAAAATCCTACCGGCGAGTCTTGTTTTCAAAAACATTACGTCATCCATGTGTCTGTCCTCTTAGTGATCATAGCTCTCAGCCAATCAGAATGTGTTATTTACGTGAGTTGTTGTAAAAAATTGATTAATGTCATAGTCAAAATGATTCGTTGTCTCACTGCATGGCCTACATGTCATTTTGTATCAGAAATAAGAAAAAGAAAAAGAAGAAAAAGATAAAGGATACTTCATCAAACTCTGAAGTCCAGTATAATAGTCCAAATAATTCGGACAAAGTTTTTCAACCCATTATTCTTGCAAGATTTTGTACATCATTTGGTGAATATCTCGATCATGACCTCACCAGGGAACAATTGATTTTTCTTTACAAAGAGTGTACAGAGATTGCTTTTTATAATAACGACATCCATCTGAAAATACTGCTAATAGAATTTTCGTTTTCTAAGAAGTTTCCTTTTGACTCTCGTTTAAAAGAATTTTATGGCTATTTTTCAAAGAACGGAAACGGTTTGGAGAATAGAATTCTTTATCACAAGAAATGCATTGACGTCGCCAATGCAACGAGAAACAAGAAGGAAGAGATGGGAGCATACTTTAGCTTAGGATTACTAAATGAACAGTTAAATCAGTACTATGACGTTATTATTTACAACAAGAAATGTCTTGCCATTGCAAGGGAAATTGGTAACAAAAGAGTTGCAATGTCATCGTGTCTATTACTTGCAAGGACATGTCGTGAATTAAAACTGGAAAGTGAAGCTATTGCTTACTGTAAGAGCTGTATAAGCATCGCGAAAGAAATCGATAAAAAAGCTGTTGAGATGACAGCATGTTTTATCGTTGGAAAGTTATTTTTCTCTCAAAGCAACTATAAGGAAGCTCTTGCGTACAGCAAAAGAAGCCTTGAGAATACAAAAGCAATAGGTGATAAACGATATGAATCGATGGTTTATTTGTTAATTCAGGACTGTCAGTACCATATGAATGAATACAAGGATGCGGTTGTCACTGGTCAAAAGGCTATAGCCGCTGCAAAGGACATTGGAGATAAACTTGGTGAAAAGGTTGCGTATGCACTTCTCGGAAAGACATACGAATTGTTAAACCAGCATGAGGATGCTGTAGATTGTACAACAAAGAGTCTAGAGCTTGAAATCGAAAGTGGAGACAAGATCTCGGCAATGACAGAATATTATTCACTTGGTAAGATCTACCACTCACTTGGTCATCATGACAGCGCTATTGCGTGTGCAATGAAATACATTGACATAGCAGAAGAAACTGGAGAGAATAGAAGTAAAAGTCATGCATACCTTTTACTTGGAGACATTTACAATTCGTTGAACAAATTTGACGAGGCTGTTATGTACCTTAAGAAATGCCTCAGCAATTCAGAAACTGTGCCAGTAGAAGAAAAGTTAGATTTTCAAGCACATTTTTTACTTGGCAAGGTGCATGTGTCAAAGAATCAGTTTGATACAGCTATTATCCATTTAACAAAGGCCCTTGAATTTGCAAGATATAATACGAAAGAGGAGATAGCATACGTGTATATGGCACTTGGAGATAGTTATCTACAACTTCAACAACACGATAAAGCTCGCGAGTATCTTCGAAAGTGTCTCGATATTGCAAATAGATCTGGTAACAGACGTGCTGAAGGCGACGCGTATATGTTGCTGGGGAAGACCTATGATTCACTGCGTAAAGAGAGTGATGCTATCTTACATTTTAAAAAAGGCATTGAAATTTTGAGAGAAAATGGTTTAGTGCAGCATGAAATGCAAGGCCATTTGTTATTGGGGAAGATGTACAGGTCTAGTAAGAATTACAATGAAGCCATAGAGTCCTTGAAAAAGGCTATCGTTATTGCATTGAGAACCGGAGACAAGAACATGCAAAAGGATGTGTATTATGAAATCGGGAATATCTATGAATTTATGAATCAATACGACAGAGCTATCCGTTATGGTAAGAAGTACATGGAAGTTGCAAAGGAAATTGGAAATGAAGATGACGTGATGGAGGCGTACTTGGCGCTAGGAGTGGCCTATCTAGGTTTAGATAATTATGAAGATACATTTTTCAATCTAAAAGAAGGTTTGAAAATAGCTACAGAAAGGGAAAACACGAGTAAAGCAGAAACATTCAACAGTTTCTTAAACAACCTTCACCTGCGCGTAGAAGCTATCGGGCAAGCAACCAATTTTGCTGGATTTATTTCCTGTGGGCACCTATGTTTGGAATTTCTTAAAGAGAGCAGTGATGGACAAGATGAAAAATGCAACGAGTTTAGAGAAAAATTAATATGCCACAGATTAAACGGGGAATACGAACAAGCGAAGGTTTGTCTCAAACGGCAATTGGACTTGTTTGAGCGATGTGGTCACTATCATGGTACAGACAAAGTGTACTGTTTACTCGAGATTGCAGATATACACGATACATTAGGTCAATACGAAAACAGCTTACAGTGTTATCAAGAATCTCTGGCTATTGCAAGTCACGTTGGTGCAAAACACCTACAAGCTATCAGTTATTCTAGACAAGGTCGTACCTATCTAAAACTCAAGATGATGAAAGAAGCTGAAAACTCATTCAGGGAAGCAATACGATATTTTGAAACCATGTTTGATGCCCTTGGTGGCGAAGATTTCAAGCTATCACTTCTTGATGCTTACGTTATGTGTTACAAGTTTTTGGCCAATGTTTTTTTCCATACTAAGCAAATAAAAGACGCCCTCGTCGTGTCAGATCGAGGACGAGCTCGATTGTTGAACGGCTTACTACAAAAATGTGGAATGAATGGAGAAATAAATGATGTCTTGGAGTATAAGGATATTGAATCACTCCTTTCTCAATACAAATGCTCAACTCTTTTCTACATTGATATTTACCCGATGGTTTATATTTTCATTATTGAAAATGACAGAGAATTGCAATTTTCTATGAAGCGCTTTGGATGCACGTGCCAATGTGCAGATACAGTAACTTTTGAAATGCTTATTGATAAAGCCTTGAATGAGATCGAAATTTGGGATCATGTCGTCGACAACTGCGAAAATAGATCCCTGGACAAGCCGCCGTATGAAGTTGCTGTACGCCATTCTGAAGAGATAATAAGTCTGACTGAAGAATTCGAAAAGTCTCATTTCTCAGGAAAAAAACGATCTCCAGACGATGAAAAACCTCAGAAAAGCGAAGAAAACATTGAGGGAAGTGCTTTGGAATGGTTACATAATTCACTACTAAGCTACGATGCAATACACTCTTTCAAGCAAGATGGTAGGCATGCTATCACTAAACATATAAAATACTTTGGACAGGAAGAAGAAATTTTGATTATTCCTGATGGTCCCTTATACAAAGTACCATTTGCTGCCCTGCGCGACCCAGATACTGGTCGGTATCTTTCAGAAGACAAACGTATCAGACTTATTCCTTCATTAGCAACTTTAAAGGCATTGCAAGGACGTACAGAAGATTATTATTCCAAGAATGGCGCCGTAATCGTTGGAAATCCTCTTGTTGGTAAAGTCATGTTCGATGGGGAAGAGACAGAGTTCGATCCTTTGGATAATGCGTTTGCTGAAGTGATCGCAGTAGGCAATGTATGCAAGGCGACGCCTTTGACAGGAGAGAAGGCAACGAAACAAGCTGTCATCCAGAGACTAAATGAAGGAGTAGCTGTCGTTCATATCGCTGCACACGGCAGTCTCAGTAAAGGTACGATAGCACTTGCACCTTCTCCTGAGGTAAGAGCAACAAAGATCCCAGATGAAGAAGATTACATGCTGACSATGGCTGAAGTACAGCAGGCTCAAGTACGTGCACAGTTAGTTGTGTTAAGCTGCTGTCACAGTGGACGTGGTGAAATCAGAGCTGAAGGAGTAGTTRGCATGTGTCGAGCCTTTCTAGCGTCAGGTGCTCGTGCAGTGGTAGCGTCTCTGTGGGCCATCGATGACGATGCAACATTCGAGTTCATGTTTAAATTCTATACTCGCTTAATGGACGGAAAGAGTGCGAGTGCAAGTTTACATCAAGCGATGAATGAAATCAGGAMCTCTTCCGGCTACAGCGCTCCAAAGTACTGGGCACCATTCTTTCTCATGGGTGAAGATGTCACAATCAAATGTTAAAGAATACTGAAAGCAAGGCATAATGATCACATTTTCAAAACTTATTTCTTGCATGATTACCCTTACCACACTAGGAAGCCCAAGCATTGTACTAGTACCGCATTACAAAGGAATGTATGTGGAATTGTATATCGTAAGAATATCTATAATAATTTTACTAGTATTGGTAGGCCCGTATAAAGACTAAAACTCGTCGGATTGGCTCCGCGACATTAGCTAATGAACCTCCAATTATCATATCTTAGTCAACTTAGTGTACAACAATGTGCAACTGTTATTGAAATAGCTTGTGGAATGAGAAACAGCTACAAGACTTAGATGAGGGGGGGTTTGGATTTTGAAACTAACCCGAACAGATTACAAAGTTTGGTCGTCGTAATCATGTTTACAACAACAACAACAATACAATTTTATTTGGCACCTTATACTAATAGTACATGAGTGTTTGATTCCAAATATATTATAGGTATATATATATACTATGTATTAGGT